GTAAAAGGATGGTCCAGCCAAAGTGGCTAGAGGAAGGAGGTTTCCGTCAAAACGTGGCACAGGTCACCTCCCTTTTCTTGGTTGGTTAGTAAGGTATGCCCTGAAGCATATGTGTACTATAAAGACAGGTAAAACTCTGGCATGATCTTATTCTTCCAGGAAACACAAAACCCTCGCTTTAATTAAAGATGGCCGTGTGATTGGTGGTATCTGTTTCCGAATGTTCCCGTCCCAAGGATTCACAGAGATCGTTTTCTGTGCGGTCACCTCAAATGAGCAAGTCAAGGTAAGGGCACCTGCACGGTTTGAGAAGAAAAGCCAGAAGCGGGCCTTTCTAACCCTGCGGGACTTGGGCCACAGGTGGCTTCAAATGCGCAGGGCCTTTCTGAGACGAATGCGCGTGTGTGTGTGTGTGTGTGTGTGTGTGTGTGTGTGTGTGTGTGTCCGATCTTGTGTGTGAGAGAGAGAGAGAGAAGGGTCGATGGTCACCCCTGTCAGCAGGAAGGCTTGTTCCAGGGATTTGTGGGGGCCTTGGATAAGAGACAGGGGTGCTACATGTCAGATATGTACAGCCTGCGGGAAAGGAAGGAATGTTGGAAAATAAATCTCAGTGTTATGTTCAGTACACACAACTGGAGACAAGGACCCACTGAGAAAGCTCATGGCGTGCTGTGGATGAGGAAGGAATTGGAGCAGCATGCACTCCAGAAATATTCTCATGTCTTTGTCTCTAAGAGAGGACAAGGACTCACGATAAGAAAATATGGAAAAACAACGATGGATAAAGTTCAGGACTATTCACGCTCTTTGGGCTGGGTGCCTACGTGTGTGCCTAATTTATGCTCCCAGCTGTCTTTGGCATCGGTGTCTAAGCGACCTCCAGCCGACTGGGAGTGCACATGCACACACACCCACACACGCGTGCGCACAAGGAGGGCACTGTGGTTGTTGGGGATGCAGTCCACCAGCAATATGGGGCTTCCCTGAGTTCGTGGGAAAACCACATGAGAAGATGATGCAGTTTTCCTCCATGAACTTTGCGAAGCCCCCTCACACACTCGCCTGTCCACAGACAAAAGAGACTCCCGTGTATACGCGAGTATAAGCCGAGGCACCTAATTTTACCACAACACACTGGGGGGCTTTTTCAGCATAAAAAATGGGCTGAAAAAAACTCGGCGTATACTCGAGTCTATATGGTACTCTCATCTAGATTTTGTCGTGGGCTCCTCTGCTCTTAGGAAAAGGAACGAGGAAGCATGTCCGTGGAACACGCTTCTCTTGATGTTTTGGAATACCTAGAGGAAACCAGGTGGAAGTGTTGTCAGGAGGAGACCTTAGGGTGAATGGCTGCTGAGACAAAATTGTTGGAAGGGCAACATTGTAAGAGAGAGAGCCTATTGTGTGCTGTCCATGTGAACCATATGTGACATCACACATTTTCTGGTAGCTGCATTCAGAACAAGAAGGTTAAAGGAAATGGGAGTGAAATTAATTTTTTAAATCGGTTTTATTTTACCTTACCTACATTGCCTTTGCAACTTGTATTTAATGTAAAGAAGACTCATTCCTGAAATAATTAGATAGTCATGAAATATTAATGAGAAACATCAAATGTATATCCGACACACACAATTGATCTCAATTCAGCACGGCCAAATTCAGGTAGGCCCATGCGGCCAGTGGCTGCTGTATTCATCACTGCCGGCTCAAGTGCAGGCCCCACCCCTTCAGTGCCAAAGCCGCATGGCCATTACCCAAACCACAACTCAGTCACCACCCAAGCTTCTCCGCTTGGTGCCAACAGCCAGTGCTGTGGGCACTTCTGTTTTTAGTAACAACTTGACGCTCCTCTCCCCAGGCTGGTTCTTGTTTCTGCCCTGCATTTATTCTCACCAAGCACAAGTGGGCCTTTTCTCTCTGACTCATCACACCAAGTGTCAAAGGGCAAATGCCGTCCCTCCGTTTCACATTCACCCTTTTGGCTGAGGAAGGTGAAGGCCGGGATTCACTGGAAACTAGACTTGTCAAGGGGTTCTGACAATATGTCTCTAGATGGTGCTGTTGCTGTGTTTATCACAGTTTTGTTATTTATTCTTAAAGTGAGAAATGGAGATACAAATATCCAGAGTTTAGGATTTCCTGAATGGAACATTTTGTTCCACTTTTCGTACGGAGAGGGCTTAGTTTGTAAGTTGGCGTGTAAGTTCAGGGGGAAAAAATGGTTTTCAAAGATAGCTATACCAGGCACCTTGTTTAGAAAGGTCGATTAAGGTTGACTTGGACCATTAAAGATGCTGGAGGGAAACTAAAGGCATTTAATATGAATTGAGCACTTTGTCTTATTGCATCCCAGTAGGGCAATTTATTTTTTGCCCAAACCATGTAATTTTCAAAAGACTTGAAGAAAAGTGGCCAAACATCACAAACTCAGTAGGGAGAATTTAAAAAGAAACAAAAACAAAACATTTCTTGTAAAGTGTCTTAAACTGAAGCTTTAGAAAATGAAGACTAGCCATTCTAAGCTGAGTCGATGGGACATGTTTGGTCAAAGCCATATGCATGTATGCAGACCCCAGCCCCAATTCTTTGCATCTTATTAAAAACCTCCAATTTATCTAGGAGGCCTGGTAGGGCGTGATCAAGGGTAATGTAACTAAGAGGAATTACTGAAGCCCAGGTGGGGACTGAGCATGATAGTGGGACAAGAGGAAAGTCAAAAGAAATAGAGGAAAGAGCTAGGAGGCAAAGGGCATCTATAGAGGTCTAAATAAAGGCATGTACATATATAAATATATTTATATGTGAGGATGGGGAAATAGATTTATGTGCATATATTTATAGGTCTGGTATTGAGGTAGCAGATGGACATTGGGGCTCCACTCAGGTATTCACTCAATGCAAGAATACTTTGTTCTATTAAATTGGCATTCTATGATGCTCACCTTCCCGACACAGTTGCTGAAGACAAAGTGGGTGCATAAGCAAATGTGGTGAAGAAAGCTGATGGTGCCGTTATCAAAAGATATAGCATCTGGGGTCTTAAAGGCTTGAAGGTAAACAAGCGGCCATCTAGCTGAGAGGGAACAAAGCCCACATGGAAGAAGCACACCAGCCT